TATGCCATTCTTATAAACAATTTTTTCAAAAAATCGACGATATCTCAAAAAACGATATTTTTTTTTTAATTTTTGTACCATCGTATTCATTGTCATTTTTTACATAAGAAACCGTTGAGAAAATCGAGTGCCCGCTATTAGAATTAAGATAGCACTAAAATGAAACGAACCGCGCGCTAGCCGCTCGGCCGTCTACTAATCGTGCGGTTCCAACGTTGCTTGCTGCAATTGCCTTCTTTAAAGAATAAATAATTTCATATTGTAACAGTCTATATGTATTTATTTAAATAATATATAAATGTATTAATTAAGTAAGTAATGTAAATGAACTATTTTTTTATACAATCTGATATAATATTGAAATTAAACATTTGCTCTTTGCGTTTGAGCGGGCTTGAGACCGACGCATATTTAGGATGCGGCCGCATTAAAAATGTTTTTTTATCGTACCTACACCATAATACTCTTAATAAGTTATTTACAAGTAATTTTACAAAAAAAAACCCTTTAAATTATACGTCTTATTTCAAATTCAGAAGAGTATGAAGTTTTTTTTACTTTAATTTCCGTTGTATTGTCATCACTAACTGGAATGAATGAATGCAGTGATTGTGTTCCTTGTATAGTAAGAGCATCTTTTAATTGACTATACATGCTACTTTCAAAAATTTCATATTCTTCTTGACTACAGTAAATAAACGTTATTGTAGGCATAGCTTGCTTCGCCCATTTGTAAAATTCTGCAGAATTACTTATGATTTTACCGAGCAAGCTTTCTCGTCGAGCTAATCTTTTTATACCTCCACCAATTCCATCACACGGACTTTTACCATGACAACTTGCAAAAAAATGCCACTCTGCTCTAATAGAATAATTGCTGTAATGTTGAACTAAGTTTAGAAAATTCATTCTATTTTTATATTGGCTTTCGGCACCATCACTAACATAAATAATTTTTTTTATAGTATTTTGAAATGTATTTTTGATACAACTTATTTTTGTATGCAACGGAAATTAAAGTGAAAAAAACTTCATACTCTTCTTACTTGAAAATAACTTATTAAGAGTATTATGGTGTAGGTCCGATAAAAAAACATTTTTAATGCGGCCGCATCCTAAATATGCGTCGGTCTCAAGCCCGCTCAAACGCAAAGAGCAAATGTTTAATTTCAATATTATATCAAATTGTATAAAAAAATAGTTCATTTACATTACTTACTTAATTAATACATTTATATATTATTTAAATAAATACATATAGACTGTTACAATATGAAATTATTTATTCTTTAAAGAAGGCAATTGCAGCAAGCAACGTTGGAACCGCACGATTAGTAGACGGCCGAGCGGCTAGCGCGCGGTTCGTTTCATTTTAGTGCTATCTTAATCCTAATAGCGGGCACTCGATTTTCTCAACGGTTTTTTATGTAAAAAATGACAAGGAATACGATAGTACAAAAATTTAAAAAAAAATATCGTTTTTTGAGATATCGTCGATTTTTGAAAAAATTGTTTATAACAATGGCATAAATAAATGATTTGGTGTTTTATTATTTACATTTTAAACGTGAAACTCTTTTCTCGTCTTTTAAAAAAGAATCATGTCCATATCTTTATTAGTCTCCGAGAAATCAAATTAATAAAAAAAAGTCCAATATTTTTTGAACAGTTGATAAGTCGGCCACTTATAAATATTTTGATCTAAAACTTTGCACAGATGTTGACCTCTATATAGATAACAAGTCTACCAACTTTGAACAAAATTGGTGATTTGAAGTTTTAAACTGTTTGAAATAGCCAAGAATTTCCCAATTGTGTAAAATCATTTTTTTGACATTAAAAGAGAATAAACAGTAATAATGAAATTTTAAAACATGTAAACTTTACAGAAGTAGATATATTTTATTTTAGTATAATTTACAATTAGCGCAAAAAGTATCGTCAAAAGTTATTAACTAATAAAATTAATTAATGTGATAGTGCAATATTTACAATAAAACAATAATAAAATGTTACATAAATTAGTAGTTTATCATTAGTAGAAGTAATTCCTAAAAGGAACTACTTAAATTAGTTAATAACATTTGAACTATAATCAATTTTCAAAAATTTTATTATGCAAATACTAGATTAGTTAATTAAGATCAATAAATTATAAAGATGTCATTATTATGTACAAAATTATAAGTTTAAATAAATTATTAATTGTTTATTTATTGATAACAGTAATAATTAAGCTGTTATTCATAAAACTACTTCTTACTCATGTTACTTAGATATAATTATCACGAATTCAGAGTATCCGCATTATTCTGATAATTAATATTTACAGTGTTATTGTTATTGTTATTGTTATTACTTCAAGAACTACGTCCACGTGGAACGCTGCAGAGGTAAACTAAGTACCTGTACGCATTAGTCTTGGTTCCCTATAGTCATGAATATGCAGACTCACCTTCTCTATTATTTTTTTTTAAATGATGTAGGAGGATAAAGTTGAACACAATCATGACTGGACCTACAGTTTAAGGTGGAATCCGAACTACCGGAATCACAGTAACACACATATGAAAATTTCATTTCTGAAAATCTTCACATATCCGGGGCTCGAACCCGCGACCTCTTACACAGAAGCCTGGGCTCTTACCCACTGAGCCACCGTGACCCCAAATAAACAAATAAGTAATAAACAAATTAACTTTGCTTATTAAAATTCGATATAAAATAAATAATAAACAAATTAACTTTGCTTATTAAAATTCGATATAATTTAGTAGTTAAACGCAATTAAGATTATTATAATTAAAAATCTACATAAAAAATGCTTTGTTTCATCGAAATTAATCTTAATTAATATATTTTAATAAAACAACAAAAACTATTATATCTATATTTATAAGTAGGTGACATCACGCTCCTTATATGGTCATGAAATTTGACTCTGTTACTAATATAAAATAATCATATAATATATGAGGTGGCGCCGTTTAATATGCTAATTGATGTAAATAGATTGATGAGTTTAGCGGGTTGCTGTAATTCAGTGAAAATAAAAAAATAGCTCATAGATAGGACCGTTACACAAATAATCATCAAGACAGGAATACAATGATTAACGGATATCAGATAAAGGATATATTTATTCTTGCTCTAAAACCGTAGAAACAGCTTGCGCTACTCATGCAAACGATAGCCACTGAGTGATACTCGCTCCTTATGAACTATTTGAACACGTCGCATAGATTACTCTTGTGGAGCAGTGACGTTCCAAAAAAATAATAGTGAGTCTAAATGCAAAATCGCAAGGGGATGAAAGTAATACATTGGCCGTTTGACGCCTGTACTCCTTCTTAAGGAACCTCTGCGAGTCGTGTGCCGAACTATTTATACTAATAGTTTCCGTGATATTTATATATGGCATAAGTTTGGAGGAAGGTGACTTTGTCTTACGTTTTGCTAAAAGCTTACTCGAAGCTTTGGAACCAAACTTACAATTCAGCATTAAGCGAGTTGACGAAATGCACGTCGTGTCCGAAGATGCTAAATGCCGCGTCTCAATATTAACAACGGTGAGAAATATGTCGTTCTATCCGGTGTACAAACGCTTTGTAATGCTAATGTTAGTCAAAGGTTTAGGGTATATACAAACCATGACAATTGCCAGAAATATCCAACTTTTCATATGTAACAAATATATATTAACTAAAAGAAAAATCGGTCCGATACAAATTGTTAACTTGCAAACTAGCTTAGGATGAACTATCTATCTGAATACTTTTGTAACGGGTATTAATTGATTTACCTCCGTTAATAAGTAGCCCTCGATGCGAAACTAACCGCCATCTCGATCTGTTATCCAATTTATAAGGTAACATTTATTTTACTCAAGCACTGAGCAAATACATGAACCGAACCAGGGATAAATTTGCAAATAGGTTCTTATTGTGAGCGAGGATAGGATCAAAATCTATCACTAATAGGTGAAAGTGACGAATTTGAAGCTTAAAAAGTCTTAGATTTATTGCATATATTAAATATACATCTGTCATATTTCAAATACCTGCGTAATTATCGGATAATATTTTAGTATCCCAAAATAAGAGTCTATGGAGGACATCGAATGTAATATATCTCAACGTATAGAAGTTTACTTCTATAATAGAGCGAATGAATATGTATACATGTATGGAAAAAAAACGCTAAATAATAAATTCACTTTTATATAATCTTTGAATTTCGAACGGGAAGGTAGTGTTCATACACATAAGAATTATACGCATAATCATTGTGCACAAACAAATCCGTGTTTTATTTCTTACACAAGGATAAATTGATTGTGCACCATAACTTCAATGAATAATCTATCTCAATAATATTATGCACACAATCGTCAAGGCAAATAATTAAGAGAGATAATAATTAAGAGAGACAGTCGTGCACTGGACATTGTACACTCCTTAAAAAATAAATAATCAAAGGATACTGATAATTTTGCACAGAGAAATTATTATTATTATTCTCTTCCACAATATTAAGATAAAATTTAATGAATTTCCTGTGTGCACGATGGGTGTTCTACAACAAATCGGAAGATATTGATGGTGCACTATCAATCAACGTAAGTGCATAATTTCTTTGTGCAAAATCATTAGTATCCTTTGATTATTTATTTTTTAAGGAGTGTGCAATGTCCAGTGCACGACTGTCTCTCTTAATTATTTGCCTTGACTATTGTGTGCATAATATTATCGAGATAGATTATTCATTGAAATTATGGTGCACAATCAATTTATCCTTGTGTAAGAAATAAAATACGGATTTGTTTGTGTACAATGATTATGTGTATAATTCTTATGTGCATGAACGCTACCTTCCCTTTAGAACAGATGATTTTTAAGAGCGGTCCGGTAGAATCTTTAACAATTATTAATGTCACAATTTCTGTCCTGCTTTCCCTAATCATCAGATCAAAATCATACAGATTTAGATTTTTAACATACCTTCTGTTGTACATACAGCTACAAAAAATATATTACATCTATATATACTTATTAAGTAATGATGTGGTGTTGCTATTACGGGAGGTGTGTCTTCTGGAGATAAAAGTTTATGTTGTTGATCAAAAAAATAATCACATAATGATCGAGCAACGACACTTTTCCAGTGCTTTTCTAGAAATACATCTCTGTAACAATAAAAATAACTAAATAACTAAAAGATGAAGAACAATTATTTAAACTTGAAGACAGTATTTGATAGTTTACCCAGAAAGATTGATTATGAAAAGACTATTTATCATCTTGGTGTACAAAATCTTGTTTTACTCTGCACTTTGATATTTAAGAAAATTTCATCTGAAACAAAGTAAATAGAAAAAAACGTAAGTAATATTTTAATAATTTAATTCAATGTTATGTAATTATTTTCTTATTTATTCGACAGTACTATTTTTTAACATATTGATTGTTTCTTTTCGCTTATTTGAGTATATTATTTCAAAATAATTCTTTAATGCTGATGTTACTTATTATATAAGAAAAATATAAATATAAATATAACAAAAATCAGAACTATAAATAAAATAATAGCTTAATAGAATATTTCATTTATCATCAACTAGAAATTGAAAAATACAACGTTGTTCGTAACTAATACATCGTTATATTTGTAAACAATTAAAATTAATCAATATAGAAACATTTCAAGCTCTCGCACGCCTGATTATCGCAACCTGCACGGTTGGCAAATTGTTCAGTAGTTAGAGCAATTGTGTTTTCGCTCCCCTGTGAAAATAATTTTTGTAAATAGAGTCACGGACTAAAATTTAAATTACCAAAACCGACTCTACCTTTACACGTTATGTTTACATTACAGCTTAAAGCCTGCACATACGTATAACATTTTTGGTGTAACGATGTTTGCTATGTTTAATTGTTTTATTTTGGTATTATTATTTTGTTATTTGTTTTAGTTTTATCGCTGAAAATAATTGTTACTGAAAAATTTTCCTTGAATTGCAACTTTTATAACTGCCCTGCTATAACAAGGACATTCAACCGGATTGAAAATCTAATCCGCTTCGAGTCTATTTCTGAATCCTACAAATGATAATTTAAATTTATCAAACTGGAATCGATCTGAACCCCCTTTAATATTTTTCTATCCTGAAACTAATTATTTTAGAATGTAAAATTAATTTCGGGATAAAAAACATTAAAGTGAATTAAGATTCATTCTACTTTAATGAATTTCAATTGCCATTTATAGGATTCAGAAATAGACTCAAAGCGGATTTTCAATCCAGTTGCATGTCCTTGTTTTAGCAGGGTGGCTAAATGATTTTCTCCATGGTTGAGGGTTTTAACATCTTTTAATTTTGTTTAAATTGAGCAATTTGTAATAAAGTGATTATTGTCACATTTAGTACATACTGAAGTTCTATAAAAATAATTTTTATGAGGCCGTATTTCTGACATTGCACGCAATGAGGGATTTCTCTTTTTTAACGTAGTTCTTGTTGATTTTGTACATTTTTATGTTATTATCACAAATTTTTATTTCCAGGAAAAAAATTGATAGTGATTGTTTTGATACTTTGTGTTTAATGTTAAAATGTCGTTTACGTTAAATGCGTGATACATATTTTTTATTATTTTAATCTTTAATAAGCCTTACTCAATAAATTCTGTACGGAACGGGTATCGACTAGTAAGTAGCCAAAAACAATTGCGACGATGGAAACAGCAAGTTGAAGTGGGGCGCAACAGATACGAAAAATTACTTCAAATTTCGGGACATGTTTTAAACAATTTAAAACTTTAATTTTAAATAATTTAAAGCCATTGCATCAAAACTGACTATTCATGATATTGATTTGATAAGAAGGGCTTTACAAAAGAAAGCTGAAATAAATATGACTTCACACATTCAAAGCATCATATTGGTGGATTCCGGAATTTAAAAAGAAACATAAATCGTATCTCGAATAATTACTAAATTTCTTAGAAAAGTTTCATTTATGGAAACTAATGAAATAGAAGACAAATTTGAATCCTTCAGAACTGAAGTCCGACAGGCGCTTACCAAATACGATGCAGAAAACGTATTTAATTCTGGTCAAAGTGGATTTAATTTCGAAATTCGCACTGGTAAAAATGTTTTTATAAAGAAATTAATCAAAATGACTTGTAAAGGAATTAAGGAGGTACAAAACATAGCAAAATCACTATTATCGTTAAAACACAGCTGTACAATTCAGCCTACTATATTAGCAGAGGGTAAGTTGCTTTCGCCTTTGTTTTTAGTATTGAAAGAGGCTAGTAGAGATTTTGGACTCGGGGTTAGGCAAATCCTATTTACTCCAGAAAATATGTTAATAAAAGCTTTGAAATCTGACAAGGTTTCGAAAAAAATTTTTCAGACGTCTATGAGAGAAATAGTTCTGACAAGTATTAAATTTCATCTATGCTACTTTTGGACTCTTAGAGTAGTCAATGCCAAAGTACTGAATAAGAAGTTGTACTAAAAGAGATGAATTTAAAGCTAATGGCGATACCACCGGGTACAATTGGTAAAATTCAGACCATAGCTGTTTATGCTTTTCGCTTCTAGAAAAACTTCGTAAGAAATTCATTAGATATAATTATTTTGTTGGATTATAATGTCAGTTTACACGAAAGAAATAATATCATTAAAATGGAATTTCTCATGCATAATCAGTTATCATCTTCAAGATTCCATAATATTTTTAAATGTTCATGGTTCAAAAGTGGATACTTAACTGACAAACCTCCAGAATTTCACAATTCCTGCCTGGAGACCTGGCTCTCCACTCACCGGCCCTTAGCCTAATCGCCACTCGATCTCTCGGTCATCGCCAATTCTCATGGAGAATGCTCTCGGATGGTCCCGGGACAAAACCCAACACGAAGTCTCCAGGACCCAGCGGCGGATTCAGCTCCAGTCTCTCACACGCGACCATGTACCGCAGTAAGCGATCCTGCAGCTCCTCATATGTGTCAGCAACACACAACTGGTTCTTCTATAATAGGGCCATAAGTTAAATCGGTGGAGTCGCAGTAATGCGCCGCTTTATTGTAACTCAGTCGCATCTCGCTGTTTGTCGTGAAACGTAAACTGTTTGCGGCAATGGCTGCTCATGCGCGCACCCGCGTCACCTTGCCGAAAGCACACGCGCACTGGGTAAAAATCCAAAGCAAAATTATTAGACATGACCCAGCCAGTAATATAAAAAATCACCCCGCACATTAGACGTGTCTCGAGATCTGCATCTTCAGCGAGGTACATACGTTTGGCCCGAGATTGCGCGTGTAGCTTCCGATCTTTCTTTTCTATCGTCTGCCTCTCTCGCTCTTCTTCCTTCTATCTTCTTTTTCTCTCTCTTATTTTTTCTCTTTCTCTTTTTCTCTTCTCGCTCTTTTTTTTCTTTGCATAAGAATGTACTCTATACGCATACATCTCGCAGTTTGGCGTGGACATTAACGAGATCCCGACGGTAAAACACCGGCCAAGCCGCGATTCTCCGTCACAAACTAAACAATCTCATGAAAATTCTCATTCCTCCTTTGCTCATAAAATATGATTTGATGACACATTTTGTCAAATCTTTGGATAAGAAAGAACAATGTTTTGCTACTTAGGTAAATCATTTTTAACTCGAGTGCAAAATTGAGAAAAGGTGTCTTTGATGGCCCTCTAATTCGGTAGTTGTTAAGAGATTTACATTTTGGACATTACAACAATAAAAAAAAACAAGCTGCATGGTTTAGTTTTAAAAGTGTAGTTGTTTTGGTTATAACGAAAGGGGAAATTACAGGGAGTAAGTAGTCAATTTGCTTAAAAATTATAAGGAACTGGACTGCTTGATCAGTTACAAGTTGCATTTTCTCGATTTATATCTTGATAATTTTCTGTAAAATCTTGGAGATAACGCTTTCATCAAGACATGTTATCATAGTAGATGGAGTAAATATATGATGACTAACTATTGCTAGAAATTAAAAAGAAGAACACTAATATTAATAAAAAACGCAAACGCAGTGTACTTCACAGATAATTTCAGGATAAAAGAGTGCGTAAAAGTAAACTTTCTGAAAGATTTATTTTTCATGCGTGTTCTTAAGATAAGCATGTTATTGAATTAGTAATACGTACACAGGATTTACAGATTTCTATGAAGAAAATTTATCCACTGCATGGAGTTGCTTGTGTCATGGGGTTGTAACAAAGTTGTTGCTTTACCTGAACGCTTTTTTACCAATTCTTTAAAGGGGCATAAAAGAGGCGCTTTCGCTCTTAATGATCAAAAGGGGAGGAGGAAGGAGGATAGATCAGTAAATGATTTCACGCATAACATGATTTATTACTAACAAATAATATAAAGAAGGCCCAAACCTTATTACTTATATAGATGGCGAAAAAGTCACGGATCGTCCGGCAACAAAATCGCCTTGATAATCCGCGTTTAAGAAGTACTGTTGCTCGTACAAAAAATCTCAGACGTCCGGTGAGTAAACGCCTGGTTACCGAGTATTACCGTACTTAGCCTAACCCAACCCAATCCCTAGACAATGAGAGAATAACGAGGAAAAGAGAGAGATAATCTGATCTTTGTGTCCATAGCTTGCCGGGTGATGTAGATCTCCCTGGTTGGGCGGTAGCTGCTGGGTAGAAAGACGAAGGAAAGCCGTCGCCCTTGTAATGTCTTGGCGTCTGTGGACATGCCATCCGTTCTATTACAGTTTCTTTTCATAACCATGGAGACTATCAACACAGCAGCAAAAATACACAACTACCTTAAAAACATCAATCTATCTACTAAGAGAGTAAACGACTTCAACATCCAAGTACTTTACATCATAACTGTAATCAAGAAAATTAAAATTAAATTAAATTGAAGTTTGGTGAGAAAGTTGTCCTCGAGCTCGAAGCAGAGTTCAATATATTTCTGCCCACAAGAATCAATCACCTACTCATCCAGAGTCCTGAAAAATATGAAAAACTACCCGCTGAGATTGAAAAGAGTAATAATAGACTATAATTAGGGGGGTGTCTTTTGGAATATGTACAATTTTTTTATAAAAATAATATAATATGAATACTAATTAATAAAAAAAATTTTTCAAACTTATATAAAACTTTTATCTTTTCATCACCAGTTCCTCTCAAATCAATGGTATTGTATTAAATGAATGTCGAAGTCGGAATAACATAAAACTTGGAAACATTTAATATACATAGCGACAGATCCTTATTTCCAAGATACCATCATCCCACGCCGATAAAGAAAACATCGGTACACCGGGACGATAAAAAAAATGCTGGTACACCAGAG